GGCCAGCCGCGATAATGGAAAAAACACCTGTTCTTTCTCTCTCTCTCTCTCTCTCTCACACACATACACACACACACACACACACAAACACACAAACACACAAACACATAAACACACAAACACATTCTCACAAATGGCAATCCCGCGGGCAAGCGGGGGCGACGGCGTGACAACGTGTGGGAGATTCATTAGGTTTTGCTCCTCTTAAAGAAAATACTCTCCCTCTCTCTCTCGCTGCTTTAGCAAAATTTGCTCAACTTTTCGGGTGTCCCTGGGAAGTTACCTTTCCAGGAGGTACCGTGTAATTACGAGGTACATGGGTTAATTGTGGTACGAACGCTGAATTTAGTATTTTTTTGCGGAATTTTTGTTCTCGGACCTTTTGGTTTTCTCGAACTATTTCTTGGACTTTTTCCATACTTGAGTTGCCAAATCGCTATCGGTCAATCACAAAAACGTTTCCCTTTCTTTGGCCGGGTGGACCGGGATTTTGAATAGCCGAAGCAAGTCGATCCCCTAATCAATTGTTTTGCTAACTTCTTAATCCGATGCATTCGGGCGGGAAAGTTTTTGGTTTGAATAAGTATGTACATTATTTGAATAGAGGATAGAATGCGCTCCGGAATTAGTCTGCTGGCATGGTGTCTCGTCGAGTAGCCGATGTGGTAGTTGGTACAAGTTGCCAGTCCTAGTATGACGGGAAATTTCAGTTCTTGAATAGGATGTACACTATTTAGCTATAGGACTGTTGTTTCTTTCTGGTTATCTTCAAAAGACTCTTCGATAGACTCGGCAGTCGCGCTCCCAGATCTTCTATCCGATACAGACTACTTCGAGGATCTACCAATTATGGCTTCTGGGTGGTTTCCCGGCAGGTGGGCGGGAAGCACGAGGCAGCAGGGGTGGAAGGCAGGATGAAGATTGTGATAGATTGACCACATTCCGGGATTGGCGATGGACATATTTAGTATCAGCGTGTGTACTCGGGAAGGTATCGTTTGGAAGATGGGAAACGCATACACAAAGGTAGGATCTTCTAATACAATTCGATCTGTGTCAGGTTGTGTGCCACAAAGGGAAGGATGCTGAGCTGTTGGACGGGTTGATAGCTTTAACGCTTCTGAGCAGGGTGGGGAGAGGATTAAGGGAGCAACACCCTGATTCAAGGATGGTAGGATGAATTTGGATGAGGTTTTTGGTAATAGGGAATCTCATATGTGCGTAGTTAGATAGTCATTCTTATGCTTCTCCGTGGAGACAAGGAGTCGAGAGGACGTGGGGTATGTGGTCGGAAGGATATTTAAACAGATGAGGAACATGGTCTCCTCACACTTACGCATTGACGGGTACTTATCTTTCAGAAGCCCCCTGAAGAGTTGTAGTTTACGCCAACAACGAAACGCGTCGGGGCGACGCGTATGGAAGTCTGAAGTTTATGGGTGTTTCAATGATCAAAGGATGTCGTTTTTTTTTTTATATCGCATATTTATAACAACAATATCTGTGTACTCATCTTCTTCTTCTTATCCTTGGATCTCAGGGAGCGTGGTAACTGACGTGTTCAGACAAAAGATCGGGGGCTACATGTTTCTTCGACGAACTTTCTGCGACCTCGAGCGTGATCGTCTTCGAGGTACACGGACGACTTAGTAATGATCGGATTCAAGGCAAGGAGCTTCGCAAAGTTTGGGTGTATGATTGATCATTCTTGGTGGCAATGCGCTGATTCAAGGAAAAAAGGATAAGGGAGGGGTTAGTGTATGGGTGTTGGACGTACATTTCTCGGCGACTTGGGGATTCTTTGAGAAGCATTAGGAATTTAGGAGGATGTCGACTAGCGATTTTAGAGCAACTGAATTAGAAAGGCAGTGGATTGAACTTTAGAAGTTGAGAAAATTTACTATCACCCCAGCGGTTTTTGTAGAATTGCAGGAGGATTCTAAAGAGGAGGTGATTAGTTATTTGAAAGCTGTCCTAGGGCGGGTGCTTAGCATCGGGTGCGTAATTAGAAATCGGAGATATAGGAGAAGGAGGCAGGCACAAAGGAATTTCTAGGTATGTCTAATCCATAACATATGGCACAACAACCTATTCCCGCGTACGTGGGAAGTTTGCCGACAGCCAACCCGATTGGTTCACAGACAGGACTGGTCTCATGTTATCTTTGTGGCAAGTACGGTCATTATGCACGAAACTGCTGGTGCTCTGGGAACGGACGACCACCGCAGCAATTTCAGCAACAACAGCCGACTCCAACGGCGTATGATGAAGTAAACGAAATGAAAGCCTATTTTCGGAGGAAGGTGTAGAAACAGAACGTGGAAGAAGAGAAGTGAGAGAAAGATCTCAAAGAGCAGAGAAGGAAACGCGACAAGGAGAGGAGAGAAGCGAACAAATGAAGAGAAGCAGAGGTCAGAGAAGCACGATTGGTAAGGCTGATGAATCAGCATACGAAGATAGGAAGCGCGAATGCCATACAAGTAAGTTGGAAGAAATCTCCGAAAGCGAAAGCTCGTATGCTTCGGAAAATCTGTAGCTACATTGACGAATTCAAAGATGAGAGTGACGAAGTAAGGGAGGAAGCCAGGAGGTTAGTAGATGCGATTGAAAGGAGGAAAGGGAAGCGGAGATTTGAGGAAGGAAGGACGCTATCTGCAGTAAAAGCTAAGACCACGAGAGCATCGCCCATTGTCATTGAGGACGCGCCAGACGACGTATGAACCCCCCCGATAAAGAAGAAGGGAGTTAATAACGGAGCTTCCGACGGGAAAATGTTAGACTTCGTTATTGAGATGCGCCGTTTGCTATCCGCTAAGAAGGCAGCAGAGCTGCAGAAGATTTGCAACGAGGAAGGAATCGAATGAACCAGGAAAGATAAAGCGGTTAGTGAGATTGTGAAGTGCAGAGCCAGGCTTGCCTATGGTGAAGTGGATGATTCAACACGTTTATCTCCACTATCGGGTAGGTAAGTACTGACATGGGAACCCTCAAATCTGTGATGCGGAAAGAGGGAGGAGGGTATCGCGGCACCATGATACTCTGAGAATTAGGGAGGAGGACGAGATTGTTCCGATGTTCCTAATGTTAGTTATTCGTTGGTTTTGCCCGTGGGCAAAGAAGTGGGTCGGTATGCTGACTGAGAACGTGGTGGACCTCACCACAGCAGGATCAGGCGTGTACATCCTAGAGAGTCCGTGCTGCTGGCACACGTACGTTGGGTGCACCACCAAGAGTTTTTTCCTTAGATGGTCAGCACACGTGAAGTTTGCGATCATGGGTAAGATAGGAAACGCTCCAAAACTTCATGCATGGGTAAGGGTATTCGGGTGGGAGAAGTATCTCGTACTACCAATCGTGGTCGATATCACGGATCCCTTGGTAGTTGAGAAGTTGATGATTAAAAAAAACTCACCTCCTCTGAACACTCACGGACGGAGTTTTGATGGGAAGAAATCGAGAAGGAGGAAAGGGAAGAGAGAGAGGGGGAAACGAGGAGTATGCGGTACACAAGCTAGGGTGATTACATTAAACGGAACATCTTCCTTGATTGATCTACTGAAAGGTATGGTTGGTAGCGCGTGACACCTCGCGATCTGATCTATTGGAGGCTTGATATGGGCTGATAGATGGAAGGTAATGAGAAGTAAGATAGGAGAGAGCATCCTGGAAGTTTGTGGGAAGAATCGGCCGTTGAAGGTGTGCCGACGGGACATGGAGGTCGGTGGCTTGTTCTCCGTTACTAAAATCAAAATCGTATCATCCGCGGTGGAACACAAAAGATATGTTCTCTGTGATTTGATTAGGCAACCAGGGAGAATAAGAAACCTGTATCGGAAGCAACCAACGAAATTACTAGCGTTATATAAGACTGCTAGCACTTTCGGAAGGAAATGCACCAGGAATTAGTTGAAGATTATAATTACGCGTGTGATTAGGAGAATCCATGGGACAGAGGTAAGGAATAAACCGCATGTCAATATAACATTTTCTACGGGTATTAGTCCAAGAAGCGTCAGGGAAGTAACCGCCAAAATCTTGGGGCAAGTGATTGGTGACCACCATCCCCAGAAGTATGTTGCTGCAAGGATTCAAGTAGTGTTCAGCCAAAGATGGACGGTGGGTCAAGTGATATATAACCAGAGGTTATGCACAGCGGCTAGCGGGGTTGTTTGCACCTGTGAAGGTACCGACCTATCAAGGTCACAGGGTCACGTGAAGGTAAGGGTCGATGATATCCTCGGTGCTCCTATCCTTGTGAAGAATTCTAGGAATGTCACATGTGGTGATGACGTAACAGCAGATAAACTTGTGGAGTGTGTTTTAACCGCGGTGAAGCCTTGGAGTCAGGGGAGATATGTGAAGATTGATCTGAACAATCTGATGGCGTGCCTGAAGTTTCGACCAGCTACAGGTCTAGGGAGGAAGTATGATTTTGGTTCCGTACGATCGAACATCTGATCGCGGTATTGATCGACCGAAATCCGGGAGCTACTCTTGTGGTGTGCCCTGTACTTTATCATCATGCATGTGAATTGACACTTAATGCCAATCCAAGCTATCATCCGGTGCGCAAGGAGGAAGCACATATCATCAGAGGGATGAAGGCCGACTACGAACGGGGGGATTGAAAAAGATAGCCGCTTGGGGCAAGGGAGGAGAGGTGGGGTAGGCATATGTAATACCGAAGGATAAAGATCTAGACAGATGGCGGGCGATCGCTCCGGCAACTAACGATCCTGTATGGTTGGCAGGGGTAAGGTTAGGACGAGCCATTAGATTCATGTTGTTTGGTATTGGGGATGGTAGACATTTTGATATCCGATCCATGGACGATCTGCGGAAGCAATCCGAACTGATTCAGAATGATCTAGGGGGGATCACAAACAGAGTAGTGGTGAGGACTCCGAGGAGCTATGACGTAAAGACATGTTTGCAAGGCTTTCACACAGGAGTACTGAGAGTGTTGTTTGATGGGTGACGGATTTCCACCGTCGAGTAAGTATTATGGGAACGATATGTATGATGGCAAGGAACATGAGGAAGAGTGATGACTTTGTGCTTCTCGATTTGGATTTAATTGTGAATGCGGTGAGATTCGAGCTGGAAAATTCGTACCTGAAGAGTTTCGGAGAGATGTTAAAGCAAGTGTTTGGAATTCCCATAGGGAGGAATTCCGACGACGCTTTGGCATGCTTAGTGTGTGCAAAATCCGAAGCTTTATTCCTCGGATCACTAGGAAGAGACTGCCAGCTGGTGACAGGTATGAGAATGATTGATGACATTGCCGTATTTGTGGGGTACGACGGTTCAGATAAGGGATCGAAACAAAACACAACACAAATTCTCGGACGTTTTGAAGAGTGCAACGATAGGAGCCCGCATTTGGTCAGGAAGGACGAAAGGGAGATTGCCTTCGATTTCTTAGGGGCTCGCATGATTATCGAATCATCACCTGTCCGCATCCACATCTTTCCAAGAACGAAGAATCAACGACATCTCACGGCGTCCGGTTGTCTGAAGATCCACTCCATGCAGGATTACTTCTCGTTCTCGTCGTTCTCGAAGAAATCTGTAAAGAAAGCGACACTGTTCGCTAGTATGCTGATGCTACATCGGGTCTCCACATCTGATGAAGCTACATTGGCCGCCTTATCCGCAGTAATGATCGAAGCACGCCTCCGGGGTTACCCCCCGGAGGTCTATCTCGCTTCTTTACTAGCAAAATTTGCTGAACTTTCCGGGTGTCCCTGGGAAGTTACCCTTTCCGGGATGTACCCTGGAATCATGAGGTACATGGATTAATTGTGGTACGAATGCTGAGTTTCAGATTTTTTTGCAGAATTTTTGTTCTCGGACTTCACGCTCGTGCAATGAGCGCGACCGAACACAGAGTTCAATTCCGCGAGGAAAAAAAAAACCTTTAAAAATACAAAAAAAAAGAAGTTATGAAGACAGATAAAATAAACAACATTTATCGGAGCATTACATCTAAATTCGTTACCAAATTGGAAATAAAAATAGAAAACAGAAAATAGAAAAAAATAAAAAGAGAATTGAAATTAGTGAGTGCGCGAGTACCTTTGTGACACCGCCATTTTGTTGATTTTTTATTGTTTTTTGGCAGAGCCAAATGCCCTAAAAATTTACTGATATGTACATCACATTATACAAAACTCATGAAAAAAATATCAAAAAATAATAAATTGTTTAAGGTGGCGAAGTAAAGTGAAACTAGAAAATAAAAAGTAAAAAAATGAGTGGGCGAACACGATTTGACATCGCCATCTTTGGCGATTTTTCATTTCTTTCTCCTTAGCAAAATGACTCCAAAATTGACACGCATGTACCCCACATCATACAAAACTCATAAAAAACAAATCATAAAAAATAAGTTATTTATAGGCATCAAAATGTTTTTTTTAAAATAAAAAATAAAAAAATAATTGAACGTCGTTCAATTTTGAACGCAAATTTAAATCCGCGTTCAAACGCACACTTGAACGTGAACGTGCGTCACGACGTTCAAACGGTTACATAGGGGCGGGCGCCAGTGGTGGTGTATATTTCCATGTTGTAGAGGAAGAGTCATTCGATTTTGCTCCTCCTCTCGGTTGAAGTACGAAGAGGCCAGCCACGATATTGGAAATTTACATACTCTCTCTCTCTTTCTATTTCTCTCTCTCTCTCTCACTCTCTCTCTCACACACACACACACACACACGGCCCCCAGCCCACACACTTGTGCCCTGCGCAAACGCGTCAAACGCGTTTATCCGCGTTCTATGAACGCGCATTCAACGAGTTCAAAACATGAACACGAAGCGCGCGTTCATTGAACGTGCGGCAACACAGGTCATACGAGGTTTGCCGACGCTGCAAATCCCGCAATCATCGTTCGTACGACGAGTTGCGACCATTACCGGTCCCCTTGTGCCAAAGGGATCCGAAGCGATTGCCATTGATATTACCGGACCGTTCCCTAAGCACAAGACCGGTATGGATGGGATTCTGACGGTGGTCGACTGACTCACCAAGTTTGAAGTGTTTTTGCCTTACCGCTATCATGCCAAGGCACTGGAGTTGGCCGAAGTTCTTAACACCGGTTGGATTCGAACCAAGGGTTACCCCAAGGAAATCGTCTGCGACCACGACACCCGGTTCATGTCCGATTTTTGGTTGGCGCTCATAAAACGATGGGGCTCATTTCTCAAGCTGAGTTCGGCTCGCCACCCCCAAACCGATGGCCAAACGGAGAAGGCGCATCATACCGCACAGGTTCTCCTTCGCACTCTCATTTGTCCCGACCAAAAGGATTGGGTTGAGCGGCTGCCGGATGTCGAGTCGGCATACAACTCGTCCATCCATCCAGTTATCGGGATGTCGCCATTTGAGTTCAAGCACGGTTCACCGGTCACCTCTCCATTGGATACAATCATCCCACGCGCGGTCGGGATTGACGACCACCTTCTTTTCTTGATTCGGATGCAAGAGCTACTTGTCAAGGCACGTGGCCAGATGGCAAGGACGCAGCAACTCATGAGCCAACAAGCCATTCACCAGCGTGTCCCTCCTCCATTCCGCATCGGCGACCTGAGCCGACCTCTTATGGGTTTCCGCCGCGGAATTCAGCATCGAACAAGATATCTCTCGCAAGCTCCTTCCGAAATGGATGGCGCCCTGGCCGATCGTGGCACCCTTTGAGAATGCACCCAAAGCACCTTCATTTGTCGTTCAGGTGCCTTCCCACTTGCCCGTCAACCCGGTCTTTCACTCCTCCAAGTTGGCTCTTTACACGCTAGCGGAAGATGACAACTTTCTCGGGTGACAATCGCAAGACCCAGCCTCAAGTGACGGTTTTCAAGAGGTCGGTGACATCATCTCCCAGCGACGCTACGACAACAGGGTACATTTTGTGTACGGCACCCACGAAGCTGACCGTTGGTTGACCCGTGCGGAACCTCAAGCAACAACTCCAAATGTTTTCGCACTCTACGGACACAAGTTGCAAGGCAAGCCGGCATCTTCGGCTCCATGTTGCATCCGCGTCCAGGTTCCACCTTCAGATCGTCAGCTTGGCCCTGGCTTGACTTCATAAGGAAGAGGGGGTGTTACATGCTGCACCTGCACACGGGCCACAGTTACAGGACCCGATGGTTGTTGAGGGGCCCGCAGGCCGCACGCCATCCAGCCCGTGCCCTGGAGGCCCACGGCAGCCCCTCCAGGCTGCAGGTATAGGGTGAGGCAGCACTCACTTATTTATTTATTACAGCCATTAGCTAAAATGGTTCTAGAACCCGAATGGGAAGCCCGTTTTGAACCTCACTCTTATGGATTTAGGCCAGCTTGAGGACGTAGTTATCAAGATGCAATGGAAGCTCTGGCTCGAGCCATTAGAGCCAAATATTATGTGATGTGCTGTCCTATTTTTGTCGGTTCAGATGTTTCGGACTTGCAGTTCTCAAGGCACGGTGTCGGGCGGCTGCCTATCAGCCGAAGCCCTTTTCTTTCCGGAAACAGGGAGTTTTCAAACCATTCCTTTATTGCCTTTGCATGGTTTTGATGTCTGTCTGCGTGTGGTTTTGAGGTCTATGGGTGAGTCTGAAATCCAGTCTTCGTACTAACCCTCAATGGGCGGAAACGGTGGTTCGAACCAAGGTCGTAAGCGGGCTCAGGCGGGTTCCTAAAGATCGAGGTTTTCGGTGACTAAGGCAGAAATCAAGAGGTTGGTGGTTGACTTGGTGGAGGGCCACAGAAAACCTCAAGAGGGCCTGGGAGGATCGGAGACGGACCATTGGGATCTGTTGAGCTACACAGTCTTAACCAAGGACGCGTGACATTGGAAGGAGTACGTTTGAATGGGTCTCGATGCGCATGTGGTCGTTGGCAGGCGCCGTGTTTATAAGTTCCAGGGATCCGCTTTGAATCGTCAGGGGACCGGGAGAGGTTTCCGGCGCGAAGAAGTCGGGGCGCAACAAGATCGGCCTGATGCGATGTGCTACTAGCTTTTGCAAGTGCCATGATTAGTTCCGCCCTCGACGGGCTTGGAGAGCAGGGCAACTTAACCACGTTGCGAGGCCAGCGTTATCAAGGGGGCGGAAAAAGCGAGAAGGTAGACCGACAACTATAGGTGAATCTAACCAGGGCGGCCGAGCGAAGCCGGCAACCGGGAAATTACAAGAATCGGGAAGGGGAAATCCAAATGGCGATATTGACACCAGGCGGATGAGCAGAAGAGGATCTGCCAAGACCACTTCTTGGCAACCGACGTCAAAGAAGACGTGGGAGAGGGGTTAAGAACGCATCAGGATCAGAGCTAGGCCAGGTACAGGCGTTACCAAGAGGCAAAAAAAAAAAAAGGAAGAAGACGGGCGGGCGCAGGCCAGAGCTCAATAAGCCAGGAGYTGGGGCTCGCCCCRGGAAACGAACAGGCGAGATCGGGTTCGCTGAGTCCGCGAGCGGGAACRCGAACARACGCTAACACCTTCTGGATCYAAAAGCAAGAGAGGGGGCGCKACGACTGGTCGGGAAGGAAGGAGGAAGGAATCTTGGAAYKCTAACCGAATGGAGATGGTGYGCATGCCCTAGGATTCTTGCTAACCGTCGGAGGGGCCGCCTGCCACGAGCATCCCGCCCAGAACTGAGCAGAGTACACAAAGGAAATGTACTTGGACTAGGCCAGASGCYGCGGGTGATCGATCAAAGAAGTCTAAGAAGAGGATCGAGATCGCGCCGGCCAGCCACTAGTGGTCGATCCGACTACCGAAGGAAGGTTGAGTCCTATTGGATGGCAAGGCGTGAGCAGAGCTTGGGGAGATTCAAATTTTGCGCGCCTAGAAGTTCTTGCTAACCTCCYAAGAGARGGAAGCGAAGGAAGCASCATAGGGTGGAGTTCGAGGAGCGAGGAACGCGCGCAGGGATGTACCCGAGCAAGGCGGTCTACAGGCTAACCAAAGCGAGATGTCGGACTCGGGGGTGTGACTCTTATTCCCGGTCATCATACAACAGAGGAAGGGACAAATCCTATCAGGGCGGGGAGCTCCACGACTAGCTGATTGCGAAGAAGGAGGATGCGACCTTGGGAAGCGGGTAGGTTCCTTCGAAGGAAGGCGGGAGGTTGATATTTTGACGAAATACGGCCGGGGGGGATTGAAAAACGTAACGTATGGTTGGCGGGAGAAATGCACGAAGGAAAGAGAGTGCTGATTGGAAGAAAGGGAAGAGGGGAGGATCGATGCGAAGGGAAAAAAAAAGTATATAAGAAAGGAGGAGGAAAAGGGGGGGGACGTGCACGAGAACGGCGTACGTATGAGCGCACGAGTGGCCGCTCCAGTGCCGCCGAGCCAATGCTCCGTTGAGGGTTCGTCAGGGAGTCGTTCGGGAAGGAGGCTGAGCTGCGCTCGTAAGGGCAAGGGCTACGGGCGACCGCGAGAGAGAGGGAGAGATTGAAGACCTGCGCTCGGAGCGGCGGGGGCGACCGAGAGGGAGAGAGAGAGAGATTGAAGACCTGCGCTCGGGGCGGCGGGCCATCGAGAGAGAGGGAGAGAGAGAGAGAAATCGAGAGTTGAGAGAGAGAGAGAGAGAGAGAGAGAGAGAGAGAGAGAGAGAGAGAGAGAGAGAGAGAGAGAGAGAGAGAGAAGAGAGAGAGAGGGGGGGAGAGCTGGCGAAGGCAACATCTACACGCTCGAGAGGAAGAGAGAGAGGGGGGGGAGAGAGAAAGAGAGAGAGGGAGGAATAAAAGGAGTCCCGGGGTCGCACGCGCGGGGTCCTCCCACGCGCCAAAGGACTGTCGAGGCGGTACAGTGCCGGGCGGACGGCGACACCCTGAGAGGGACGAAGCGGTCCTTGAGCGCTGGGGAAGAGCAGCCACTGGTTCCCTGCGTGCATTCGGGCTAGAAGGAAGGGAGCGGGCCCTCCCACACACAGGACATCCTATTCGGAGTGACAGAATCATATCGCGTTCGCAACCCGCTAACCCGCTTACGTTCGAGCTCAGCGCTCGGTCGGCTTCTGGGCACTCAACTGGCATTACAAGCCAAGTTCGTCTCCGCGTTCAACGCCGCACTCAGTTGGCGACGCGGCCACATCTGTGTCGTCTCCCGTACGTCGTACGGGGGGTCCCCGTACGGGTCGTACAGACGGACGTACAGACGCCCGTACGGGCGTACGGACGCTCCCCGTACGAGGGTGCCACAGGCCTGTGGGGGGGGGGGGGGGGGGGGGGGGGGCGGGGGGGGGGGGGGGGGGGGGGGGGGGGGGGGGGGGGGGGGGGGGGGGGGGGGGGGGGGGGGGGGGGGGGGGGGGGGGGGGGTAGGTTGGAGGCCGTGAGACGTGGGGGGAGGTCAGTGGCGGCACAGGGGTGCAGTCAAAGAAAATTTAAAATTTTTTCTTTTTGGTTTGAAAGCCAAAAAAAAAAAAAAACGGCTGCCTGCGTCCCCACTGCCCTCTGCCTGGCACACGTTGATGCAGCCCTGGGCAGTTTCTGAGGGCGTGCCCTCCGGGCCTCGAAAACTGCCCTGGCCAGCAGCTATGTGTGCCAGGCTGAGGCCCGCGGGGACGCAGGCAGCCGTCTTTTTATTTTTTATTTTTTCTATCTGAAAGAAAAAGACCAAAAAAAGGGAAAAAAAAACTTCACTGGGCGGCCCTTCGGGGAGGCAAAGGCCAAGGGCCAAGGGCCTCTGCATATAAGGCAGGTGGTGGGCGTCAACACCCTCAGTTTTGTGTTGGCGCCCCTGTTGTGGCCCACGCAACAGCGCACGTGCAGGACGTTGGCTGCGACACACACGTGGAGAGAGAGAGAGAGAGAGAGAGAGAGAGAGAGAGAGAGAGAGAGAGAGAGAGAGAGAGAGCGACGCGCACGACGCGTTCGCGAGACGGCGCGGACGTACGGCTGCCCCTCGTACATACGGTCGTACGTAAGGCTACCCCGCGTATGTACGCGGTGTACGCCTAAGTTCGGCGGTCGCGCGGTTTTTGGCGGGAAACGGTGGCAATCGCAGAGAGAGAGAGAGAGAGAGAGTTTGAGAGACTGGCAGGAGGTGAGTTCATCATCTTCTTCTTTTCCTTCCACCACCTTTTCTCATCCTTCCTTCTTATTCATCTTCCTGTTCTTCTTCTTCTTCTTCTTCTCCTTCTACTTTTTTTTTTTTCTTGGATTTTTTCTTCTTCTTGTTATTTCTTTTTTTTTTTCCCATGATTTTTTTTTTTCACAACGATTTTTTGAATTTTTTCTTCTTCTTCTTCTTCTTCTTATTCTTCTTCTACTTTTACTATTTCTTCTTCTTCAACTATTTCTTCCTCTTCTTCTTCTACTATTTGTTCTTCTTCTTCTCGTAGTACTTTTTCTTCTTCTACTACTACTTTTTCTAGTATTTCTTCTACTTCTTCTTCTTCTTTAAGTTCTTCTTCTTCTTCTACTACTTCTTCTTTTTTTTGTGTGTGTGTGAGAGAGAGACAGAGAGAGAGAGAGAGAGAGAGAGAGAG